TGGTCAGTGGTTGTTGATCAATGGTCATGAGAATTTGCATAATTAAGATTAAGGAACTGACCTCCCAGCCCATTGTTCCTTCAGTGGGCTGGTTTCAGTCATTATGCAAATGTACTGTTTATAAGATTGGGGAAACCTGCAGTCAGCTGAGACTGAAGAAGTCACTTGACGAAACGTTTCTCCCACAAAACACTATGTCCAGATGAACAGAATCAACTTTTTTGGAGAGGCTGGTAATTTCTTTGTAATAAGCAGAGCTTATTACAGAGCTGCAAAATGCTGAACTGCCTGTTTTTTTTTTATTAATAACATATATGTGATTATTATGTGTCACAGATTTAAGCCCCATAGGGCTTAAATCTGTGACTCTCCACCATTTAAACTTAGAACTCAATAAGCTTCTCAGACGAGATGTAAAACATCTTCAGGAAACTTAAAAAAGTCCAGACGCTTTTATTTCCAAGCTCCTTAGATTTTGCAGCTCTGGTTCCTCATTATTAAACAGAAGCTACCACTAGTAATTGAGTAGTAATAACTTGGTAATAACTTGAGTGGTAATAACTTTATTATGTGGTAATAAATTACCACATTACATTCTTGGATTTAATTACATTCTGCTGAAATAAAAATAATTAGTTGGAAAAATAATTAGCATATAACAAACCACAGCTTCTACGGGCTTAAAAAGAATTCAAACCGACAGATGTCACTGAAACATCGATTTTATCTGGCTAATGTGGATTCAGGTCATAAACGGTATCATCAAAAACTCTGACAGCAAACTCAGAAATTCCAGCTTCCGACTTCAACTGGAATGTAACATATCCTTCAGGAAGCCAGGTGACCTGGTTCTTAGGGTCATCAACTCATTCAGCTTTCAAAGCTGTAAACATCTGAGAGTCTCTGCTTCAGCTTACCTGACACAGTGACAGACAGCAGGCAGCTCTCAGAGGAGAAGTTACGAGCGATAGCATAGACGTGATAAACACAGCTGTAGTTTCCTTGGTGGGCGAGCTTTGCAGCAGGAAACAGGAAATAAGCAGAGTGATTGACAGCTGGTTGGGTGTAGTTGTATGCTGTGTTGGAGGAGGTGAAGGTGAGCTGGAAGAAGCCTCCTGGGTACTGTGGCTGGATGGAACAGCTGATGGTGAAGTTAGAGCCCCTTGATACCCGAAGCTCCTGCTGCTGGGCTTTGGAGACCCCGTTCATGGAGGACACAGAGATGACTGGCTGAACCAGGAAGTCTGTAAACACAGAAAATCTTCTGAATCTGAGGTGAAAGAGAGAGGCTTGACTCATTCATGAGAGGTGGAATGGTGGAGCATTTTGGTGTTAGCAATATTTAAAATGGTGAAATACCACAAGCTTGTTAATGCTACAATCCAAAATAAATCCAAATTTGTGTGTCCACTTCTTATTTTTAAAGTCATTAAAGATATATGCTGTGCAAACACTCCACCCTGGAAACAGAACAGCTCGAATAACTGATTGAAAGCTCCAAATGATCCTGACACTCACACCATGATGAGTGGATTTTGAACACGACTGTAGTTTCTGATGGTTGAATTGTACACCAGTGTAATTAATTTACACTGTTAGGCTGATATAAACAAGTTTTATGTTCTTGTACAGACAGAAGGAATTCACAGTAATGGTTTAGAGAATCGTCTTTAAACTGTTACAGGCTGGGTTTCCTTGTTTGTATTTCTGATAAAATACTACTTATTATTAATCTATTGCTCTCTTTCACAGCATGTCTTTTGTCCTGTCTTTCTTCTCTCACCCTAACCAGTAGCGACAGATGGCCGCCCCTCCCTGAGCCTGGCTCTGCTGGAGGTTTCTTCCTGTTAAAAGGGAGTTTTTCCTTCCCACTGTAATCAAAGCGCTTGCTCATAGGGGGTCATATGATTGTTGGGTTTCTTTCTGTATGTGTTACTGTAGGGTCTACCTTCCAAAACGACGCACCTTGAAGTGGCTGCTGTTGTGATTTGTTGTTGTATAAATAAAACTTAAATTTAAAGGAATGGTAAAATGACAGCAACATGGTGGCACAGTAGTTAGCACTGTTGCCTCACAGCAAGAAGTCCCTGAGTTAAATTCTGCCATCGGACCTCGGTCTTTTTGTCTGTCTGTCTGCTCTGCCCATTTGTGCGTGGGTTCCCTTCAGGTACTCTGGCTACCTCTCACAGTCCAAAGACATGGAGTCAGTGGGGTTAGCTTGATTGGTAACTCTAAATTGCACATAGGTGTGAGTGTGAATGGTTGCTTGTCTCTTTGTGTTAGCCCTGCAATAGACTGGCGACCTGTCCTGGGTGTACCCTGCCTATTGCAAAAAGACAGCTGAGATAGACTAAAGCCCCCTTGCAGCCCTGACAAGGATAAGAGAATGGAATGCATTTCTTTTAATAGCTAACTGAGATTTCTGCAGAGATCTTGCATCTGTTTCTAAAAACTGTTTTGATTGCCGGTCTCTCACCTCTGACATTTGGGGCAGCTTTGAACTCCAATTATTTATGATGGAACTCTATTCTCCTGTGCTGGGTGCACTTGTTTATCACCATTCCAAGTTTAACAAGGATTTCATTTCAAGACCTTTCTGTCTTTTTATCTGGGATCTTACCAAGATTTGACAGCATTCTAATTCCTGGGGTTTTTTATATTCACGTTTGCTGCTACCAAAAATGTCTTGTGAAAGATTTCCCTTATCTTATTGACTCTTGTAATGTTGTTCAATCAGTCAGGGATCCCACCCATGACCATAGACATACTTTGGATTTAGTTTTATCTTGTGGTCTGCAGCTCCGCGATATTGACATTTGCAAGCTCAACTTTTCTGGTCAGATGCCTGTTATAATCCAAATTTCTGCACCATGTCCCCGAGTTAAACCTCTGTTACCTGCGTGCAAATTCTGCATCATCCCTCCTGCTACTGCTGGATGTTTTTCTGCTGTTTATCAGAATATTGGTGCACTTCCCTTGGACAATTACTCCCTTAAGCTCAGCGCTGATCATCTGCTCACTTTGTTCAGCATGTTCTTGATGCTGTTCCTCCTTTTAAATCTAAGTACATTAGACCTAAAACAAATCCCTGGTTAAGCAATATCACTCTCAGAAGGACCTCCAGAAAAGTGGAAGGAAAATGGCAAAAAGATCAAAACTACAAAAACGAAGTATTAAGTATCAGACATCATCTCTAATAATTGTTACAGGCCCTGTGTCCAGTGTGAAGGTTACTTCAGCCACCTGTGGAAGCTTTTTACAGTTTTTTGTTGATAAGGTTGCTACTACCAGGTCTAACTTTGCTTATAAATAAATGGATTGATTGATTGATTGATAATTAGCTAAGACAGCTGGGTCATTTTCTCTAATGGTTACATTTTTACTTGAAAAGAAATGTATTAAGTCATTTCTTGGTACCCATAAGGCATTCAAATGAATTAAAACTCTGTCTGGGTCTTTGATTGAATACTAAGCTGGAGTTGAGGGTTGCTACCACACCCCCCGCCTGTGCTAAAGGATTCTGACAATGGTATAACTCCATCAAAGCTCTGTACTACTTACTTATTAAAAACAGAGGTTAGGACTTTTTAAACAGAAAGAGCTGATCCAGATGTGCTGTACTGGAGTGCCGGTTCTGCACATCAATAACAGAAAGATCTTTTCTTTATACTAGTCTAGCACTTGATTGAGCTAACATATGAAAGCATGGCACTCTCGTGATGCACCCACACAAAAAAGATACAACTCAAGTGAGCATGTGCAATTGGTGCGAACCAGAACAGGTGTGATCAGTGTGGTCCAGTATCACATAGAGCTACAACAGGACCAAGGTATGTTTTAGTTCCTGCTGTCAGCTCAGGTTCTCCTCCCTCCTGTCCTGTTCCCTGTTCCCAAACAACCTGTTAACTAGTTTAATTATCCTACAGCCTTTGTGTCTGTACTTGTCTATGAACTTTGAAAGCTGTTAGGCTGAAGGAGTCCTTCAGGCTGGTTGGACATTGGTTTAGAGGATTTCTTAAGTTCTGCCATGTTGTGACTGCTGGAGACAGTCTGTTGCTAATCTTGCTGCTATCTTTCACAGCTTCATAAATCTCTGTCATATACAGTGGGGCAAAAAAGTATTTAGTCAGCCACCGATTGTGCAAGTTCCTCCACCTAAAATGATGACAGAGGTCAGTAATTTGCACCAGAGGTACACTTCAACTGTGAGAGACAGAATGTGAAAAAAAAAATCCATGA